TCCAAGTTTTGCATTTCAGTCACCAATTATCCTTAAAAGTATCTGTATTGCATATTTGGTCAACTTCAGACTGCAAGATTTGGTGAAAATTTTTAATTTCTTTCTCTTTGGCTCTAGATGCATGTTGTTGGGAGAGTTTATTTATTCTTTGGAGAGTGACATCAAGTGTGGGAAGGTTGGCAAAAAGAGAGGAATACTCTCAACTGGGTGAATTGACACGACTGCTGCAATGGGCTCTAGTGTGTCAGATATAGTGAGGAGGGCATTGGATAGGACAGGGTTTATATCTATTGTTTATAGGGTCACTATGGGTTCTACTAGGCTCAACAGCACCTAACAAGAACAACACTTGATTGCACCCCAAGGATATCGTTGTGGATAACAGATGGATCCTGGCTGAAAGCAGTAAATAGCAGAAGAATGTCTATTTGTGTTCTATTGATCATGCAAAAGCATTTGATTGTCTGGATCATAATAAATTATGATTAACATTGAAAGGAATGAAAATGACAGAGTGGAGAGAGTGAAGGGGCTGCGTCTGGCTTCTGCTCTCACAGCCATTGCAGTACATTGAGCTCCATAGAGACAGCACCGGGCCAAGCAGGCAGAGCCGGACGGCACTGGGCGACTCTGTGCCTCGCGGAAGAGAAATAACGAACTACGGGCAAAGGAGATCCTAAGAAACCGAGACGCAAAATATCATCGTATGCATTTTTCATGCAAACCTGCCGAGAGGAGCACAAGAAGAAGCACCCAGATGCTTCTGTCAACGTCTCAGAATTTTCTAAGAAGTGTTCAGAGAGGTGGAAGACGATGTCTGCTAAAGAGAAAGGTAAATTTGAAGACATGGCAAAGGCGGACAAGGCCCGTTATGAGAGAAAGATGAAAACCTAAGAAGTTCAAAGATCCCAAGGCGCCCAAGAGGCCCCCGTTGGCTTTTTTTCTTATTTTGTTCTGAGTATCGCCCCAACATCAAAGGCGAGCACCCTGGCCTTTCCATTGGTGATGTTGCGAAGAAGCTGGGAGAGAGATGGAACAATACTGGTGCCGATGGCAAGCAGCCCTATGAGAAGAAGGCTGCTAAACTGAAGGAGAAATACGAGAAGGATGTTGCTGCATACAGGGCTAAAGGCAGCCATGATGCCGCCAAAAATGGATTTGTCTAGACTGAGAAAAGCAAGAAGAAGAAGGAAGAGGAGAAAGATAAAGAAGATGAGGAGGACGAGGATGATGATGACAAATAAGTTGGTTATTACGTGTTTTTTTTTCTTGTCTATAAAGCATTTAACCCCCCTGTACACAACTCACTCCTTTTAAAGAAAAAAAAACCCAACAACAATTGACATGGAAGGCTGTGTAAGATTTGTTTTTAAACTGTACAGTGTCTTTTATTGTATAGTTAACACACTACCGAATGTGTCCTTAGATAGCCCTGTCCTGGTGGTATTTTCAATAGCCACCAACATTGCCTGGTACAGTATGGGGGTTGTAAATTGGCATGAAATTTAAAGCAGATTCTTGTTGGTGCACAGCACAAATTAGTTATATATGGGGATGGTAGGTTTGGTTGTGGTTGGGTTTTTTTTCCATCTTCAGTGGTCTGATGCAGTTTATACAAAATAATTGTTGTTCTGTTAAATGAATACCACTCTGTAATTGCAAAAAAGAGAAAGAACAAAAAAGCTGCAGCTGTTTTGTTGACATTCCGAATGCTTCTAAGTAAATATAAATTTTATTAGTAAAAAAAAAAAAACTTAAGGAATGAAAATCCCAGCATACTTAATTGTGCTCATGAAAAATATATACCTAGGTCAAAAAGCTGTTCAAATGGAGCAAGAGAACATTGCATTGTTTAAAACCAGAAAGCGTGTGCATCAGGGATGTATCCTTTCTCTATACCTATTCAGTATGTATGCTGAACAAATAATCTGTGAGACTGGACTCTGTCACTAGGAATGTGGCATCAGGATCAGAGGAAGACTCATCAACAACCTTCATTATGCAGATGACTCAACTTTGCTTCCTGAAAGTGAGGATGATATGAAATGCTTTCTGGATAAGATCAAGAACTGTTGCCTTCAGTATGGATAACATCTTAATATCAAGAAAACAAATGTCCTTACCAAAGGGCCGACAGTCAATTTCATGATAGATGCACAAAATAATTGAAGCTGTCAATGATTTCATTTTGGTTGAATCCACAATCAAGACCGTTGGGTAAGCAGTCAGGAAATAGGGACATATTTGCATTGGGAAAGTTCACTGTCAAGGACCTTTCCAAAATAATTAAAACAAATGTCGATAGTTGTAGAGGGGCTTTAGGCCTCTTGTTCATAGGGTCACTATGAGTTGTGCTTGACTCAAAGGCAATCAACATGCAACAATGAAGGAATGAGAACCCAAAATCTCTGTAAAAGTTCATTAAAACTAATAAAATTTAATAATAATAATAAAAAAGGCAATCAACAACAATACAACACAAATGTTAGAAGAAGAGACAGAAGGCCAGAGTGGTTGGAAACCAGAGAGCCAGGGAGATTAATCAGTGAGCAGACCAATTCAGGAAGTGTCTTTTTAGTTATGGTTTAAAAGAGATATGCAGGACCTCAATTTTAATTTATTTCTCTTCATTTGAATTTTGTATTGAATATGTGGGAAAGTAGTCTTCTATGCTAGATGTAGCCTATAATTGTACATGTTTATAAGTTCCCCTCAAGATAAGTCAATGGTGTGACAAGTGAGTATTAAATGGATCTATAGTCAGTTGAAATTTTTGGCTATGAATCTAATAGGAATTATTAAACAGAAAATAATGTAGGGGGAAAAGGTATCAAAATCATTGCCATCGAGTAGGGACTCACTCATAGCTGACCCTCTGACAGGTTTTCAGAGACTGTAAAATGCAGAGGAGGATATTGATCATCTTTCTCTTGTGGTACAGCTGGTGGACTGGAACCACATCCCTTTGGATAACAGCACAACTCCTTACCCAACAACACAGTGTTAAACTCTGAACAATAATAGAAGTCTGTGTTGTATTCGGAAAAAGATTATAAATTTGGTTTTAAACAAAAAGAAATGTCTTATTGATGCAATGTCCTTGTTATGTGCTGTGGAGTCGCTTGCGACTTATAGTGACCCTATGTACAACAACCCTAAACTCTGCTCTGTCCTGTGCCAATCACACTGTCTCTGACACACCCATCCAGATTACTCCAGTCACTGAATCAATCCACCTCATAGAGGGCCTTCCTCTCCTGTGCTGTCCCTCCACCCTCCCAAACATGATGTCCAGGACATGTCCTTACGACATGTCCATAGTATGTCAGACGAAGCCCAAGAATCCTTGCCTCCAAGGAACAGCCAGTTTAACCCTCTCCAGGATGAATCTGTTTGTTTTCTTAGCAGTCCATGGTACCCCTCAATACTCTTCTCCAGCACCACAGCTCAAAGGCATCAATTCTCCTTCTATCCTCCTTGGTCATTGTCCAACTCTCTGATGCATAAGAAGTGATAGCAAAGACCATGGCCTGTATCAGACGCACCTTAGTCTCCAGAGAGACACCATTGCTCTTGAGTACTTTAGAGAGGTCCCTAACAGCAGACTTTCCCATCACAATACGTTTTTTTATTTCCTGGCTGCTGGTGCCTAGAGTGTTGACTGTGGAGCCAAGCAAGATAGGGACATAAATCCTAAAGTCACCATGCTGGGTGAAACAAGCCAGACCCTGGCTGATTCCAGTTATGTAAAATGCCTTAAAAATTCAAACAATAGGGACTTAACGCAAGTCAGTGCTTTACCCAAGAGGAGGTGAGGGTGGAGGCTTTTATTTAAATGTGCATGAAGAAACTTTTGAAGTTGGTGTGTATGTTCCCTATCTGGATTGTAATGAGTTTGTTGCTATTATGTGCAGTTAAGTCCACTAAGACTCATAGCGACCCTATGACACGGCTCTTACCCTGCTCTATCCTGAGCCAACTTCATCATCTCCAGCAAATTCAAACCCATTTGCACAGTATTTTTTTTAGAAAATTTTCTCGTTGTAATAGAACTGATATTCTAAGATATAAGATGCCAAATTTCCATGGTAAACAATTTTTTTTTATTTTGTGTGCGTGTACCGTCAAATCAGATCTGACTGGTACAGGAGGATATTGCGCCTCCTTCTCCGGCAGAGCATCTGGTGGA